CCAACCCTCGCTCCTGCTTCTTCATGCCTTGTTGACAAATGTGGGTCTAGTGAGACCTTACATTTTGGTGCCCAGACCCGGGACAGAGGTTCTGTAAAGAATCCCGGTTGTATTTTTTGTGTCAACAATGGGAGACATGGAGAAACTTCAGAAGAAGAGGGCAGTCGCCCGAGGGTGGGCAACTCGCAAGTCTAACGTACTAAAGGGCCTTCTCAACAATCCAGATGTTAGTGCCATCGATCTGCAAGCTGCTATGGATGACTTTGATCAACGTCTTGCCAGCTTGGAGGAGGTACAAACAATGTTAGAATTAGAGACTGATTTTGTGAACTGAAGAGCTCGATGAAGAGCTCGATAGCGCCTCCGAGTTTTTCCAAGAAGTCCGTAAGCCCAGGCTGCAAGCTGCACAGAGGTTGGGGGATATGATAAAAGGTGAGCAGAGGGATTCCTCTTCATCCTCGAGTCCCAGTAAAATATCTAGTAGCTCGAAGATAGCAAATGTAAAATTACCCAAATTAGAGTTACCAAAGTTCAATGGAGATGTAACTCTGTGGCAGTCATTTTGGGACCATTTTAAGACTCATGTGCATGAAGCTGACATTCCAGTGATAACTAAGTTTAGCTACCTGCAGTCATTGTTGGAAGGACGTGCTAAAGGTGTTGTAAAAGGATTTGCACATACCGAAACAAATTACCAAATTGCTTGTGATCTTCTGAAAAAAAGATTTGGAAGACCTGAATGTATTAAATTAAAACATGTGCAAGCACTTTTGAATAGTAGGTTTTCCGAGAAAGGCAAAGGACCAAAGTATGTGTCCTCTTTGTGGAGTCTACTTGATGAATTGCTGACCCACATCCGTAGCCTACAGGCCTTGGGAGTAACAGAGGAGCAGTGTGAAGTGTTCCTGACCCCTCTCATCCTGTCATGCCTTCCTGAGGAGCTAAGATTGGAGTGGGCTAGAGAGGGCTCTGGCCGTGAGAGTGACATCAGTTGGCTGCTGCAGTTTCTTCAGAAAGAAATTGAGAGAATTGAGATCAAAAACCTTCAAAAATTGTGTTGGGGAAGGCAGAAGGACGTTTTGTGGAATCTGAGAAAAGAAGAGTGCCGTCTGCATCAGCTCTTTACACATCGTCTGAAGTAGGATCATCTTATTGCGCATTCTGTAGCAAGAAACACAAGTCTGAGAAGTGCTGGGATATTCAGAAGCTCTCATTAAAGGAACGTGAAGAAAAAATTAAAGCAGCCTGTTTATGTTTTAAGTGTCTAAGTAAAGGGCATATTGCCAGTGGCTGTCGAATCAAGTGTTCCAAGTGTAATGGAAATCATAATTCTCTTCTGTGTAGAGCAAAACCACAGATAAAGCTATGGAAGGTGATATGAGTGTTAAGAAGGTTAGTGATAATGCCGAACCTTCTTCAGAAAATTGCAGTCCTCGAGTGAATCATGTTGGAGTTGCTCTTAGCAAGTGTAATGTGTTGACAAAAACTAGCTGTGTGTTACAAACAGCTAGAGTTAAAGTGTATGGTGATTCAGGTATTTGTTGTGAAGCCACCTTGTTGTTTGATACTGGCTCCGATAGATCCTATGTATCCAGTAATCTTGTGAAGAATGTTAAGCCTAAGTGGGTGAGCTCGGAAACAGTGTCATATGCTGCTTTTGGAGGTAGTAAGTCTCCTCCAGGTAAACAGAGTAATATCTTTGATTTGAAATTAGTGGGTTTACAAGGTGTAAAACATTTAATGGCATTAGAGATTCCAAAGGTTTGTGCCCCGTTAACTAGACCTTGTATTCCTAGTAAATTGGTTGATGCCTTTTCAGACTTTCAACTTGCTGATGATTACAAGAATAATAGCCACCTAAGTATAGATATACTTGTAGGTTTGGATGCTTATTGGGGATTTATGGACCCTGAAATAAAGCCATATCAGAGTAATGGATTAGTAGCTCAAAAGTCTGTCTTTGGCTGGGTTTTGTCTGGCTCATGGATGAACTCTTCTGACAAGCCATTTGAGTCTACCCAAATGTGATGCATAGGGAATGTAACGGATTCTGATTTAAGTGAATTTTGGAGTTTAGAATCTGTTGGAATAAATCAAAAGGAAACTGTTTCTAACCCATTTACCTCAGACCCTGTTCTACAGCAATTTTGTGGAAATGTTAAGTTTGATGGGGAGCGTTATGAAGTAGGCTTACCCTGGAAGTCAGATGAATGTAAGAACAATCTTAGAAATAATGAGGGACTTGCTAGAAAAAGACTAGAAGGATTAGAGCGTAAGTTAGATAAGGACCCACAACTTAAGAAACAATACTCTGAGGTGTTTACTGGCTATGAAGAAGAGGGAATAATTGAGGAAGTCCCTTCAAATGAGGTTTTAAGTTCTCAGCCTACATATTATATGCCTCATCGTCCTGTTGTTAAAGAAAGTAGTGCTTCAACTAAGATTAGGCCAGTTTTTTTATGCTTCTGCAGTTAGTTACAATGACATTTCTTTAAATGATTGTCTTGAGTCTGGTCCTTCACTTAATCCTGATCTTGTGAAAGTTTTGATTCGTTTCAGAAGGTGGAAGGTTGCACTGACTGCTGATATTACCAAGGCTTTCTTACAGATCTGTGTTCAGGAAAAGGACCGAGATGTGCATCGCTTTTTATGGAAATGCAAAGACTCCATTAGAATTATGAGGTTTGTTCGTGTTCCCTTTGGCAACACAAGTAGCCCTTTTTTGCTAAATGCAACTATTAAACATCACTTACAGTCTTTTCCTAATACTGAAGTCATAGAAGAATTAAAGGAAAACCTTTATGTGGGTGATTGGCTGTCGGGGGCAGACAGTGCAGAAGAGGCTTCTGTTAAGTTTAAAGAAGCTCAGAGAATTTTGGCATTAGGTGGGTTTCCTCTTTCTAAATGGCATTCAAACTGTAAATTACTGACTACAAAGTTCAATGACAAAATTGATCATGGTAATGAACACGTATCCACCAAGGTTTTAGGTATGAAGTGGTTATCCTTAACAGACCAGTTTGTCTTTGAGGAATTTGATTTTGATTCAGAGACACAGTTGGTGTCAACAAAAAGAGCAGTACTTAGTCTCATAGCCAAACTTTTCGACCCTCTTGGTTTGATTAGTCCCTTTGTCATGTTTGCTAAAATCCTCTTTCAGGACATATGGAGACTTGGGCTTGATTGGGATGAAGTACTACCTAATGAGTTACAAAATAAGTTCCATAATTGGGTTAAAAGTATTGCTGCATTTAAATATTGGAAGATAAATCGGTGCTATTTTCCAGAAATTTCATGGAGAGTTGTCGGGTCTAGAACTTCATGCCTTTGGTGATGCTTCAGAGAAGGGGTATGGAGCTTCTGTGTATTTGAGAGTTCCCCTTGTGGATGGGACATACCAGGTGTCATTTGTAGTAGCAAGGTCTAGGGTAGCTCCTATAAAAAGGGTTACTTTATCCCGACTAGAGTTGCTTGGTGAGTTACTTTGTGCACGGCTCTTAGATTTTGTGAAGACTGTCCTATATCTTGATAAGACTGTAACTTATTGTTGGACTGACTCAAAAGTTGCACTTGCATGGATAAAGGGTAATCCTTTTAGGTGGAAGGCATTTGTGTCAAATAGAGTTGTTGAAATTCAGAGTCTCACCTCCCCATGTCACTGGTACCATTGTTCAAGGAAGAAAAATCCTGCTGATCTCATTTGTAGAGAGGAGTTAGCTGAGCTACTTGTGAATTCTACTTTATGGATGAATGGGCCTTCTTGGTTGTCTAAACCTTTAACTTTAAGTGACAAAGGAGAAGCTGTGGAGCTACCTGTAGAAGAAAGTTACAGTGAAAAGAACATTTCTTGTGTATCTGTAACCACTCCTAAAATATTTGAGTTTGAGAGATGGAGTCAATTCAATAAAGCCCATCATGTAGTGGCTTCGGTTATGAGATTTATAAACAATACCCGACCTCATTCTGTAAAAATGTCAGGTCCATTGTCTTCTGATGAGTTGGTTAAAGCCAAGAGCAAATTGTTTTACTGTGCACAGAGAGAGAAATTTGCTCATGAAATTGCCGACTTGAGAAAGGGTAAATCTGCAAGGAGTTCCCCTTTGTGTAGACTAGATCCCTTTGTAGATGATGAAGGCCTTTTGAGAATTAAAGGACGTTTGGAGAATGCAGACTTGAGTTTTGAAAGCAAACACCCTGCCATAGTTCCCTCAGGTCATGTTGCTAAGCTCTTGGTTCAATTTCAGCATATTTTCTTGAAGCATGCTGGAGTATCCACCATTGTATCTACTTTAAGATGCAGCTATTGGATAGTGGGGGTCAGACAAATTGCTAAAACTGTTTGTAGAGTGTGTGTTCGGTGTAAGAGGTTTGATTCCAGGGCTTGTAATCAGCCTGCTGCACCCCTACCAGGATTAAGAGTTAAGATTGCTCCTCCCTTTACTGTGACAGGTCTTGATTATGCTGGTCCTCTTTTTTGTATTGATTTACCTTCCAAGAAATTATACATTTTGTTGTTTACATGTGCCGTAATAAGAGCAGTGCACCTAGAACTTACTGATTCATTATCTCTATCCGATTGTATGCTGGCTTTACGTAGATTTGCAGCACGAAGAAGCATTCCTTCTGTCTTTTATTCAGATAATGCTAGAACATTTTTGGGTGCAGCTTGTCAACTTCAGGCAGAATATGGTCCACTGTCTCCTCAGTGGAAATTCATTGTATCCCGTTCTCCATGGTGGGGAGGTTGGTGGGAGCGTTTGATTAGGTCTGTTAAGTCTGCTTTGAGGAAAACAATAGGTATTAGAAGTCTGTCTAGAATTGAGCTTGAGACCACTCTTCAAGAAGTTGAGGCTTGTGTAAATTCTAGACCTTTGACCTTTGTTGGAGATGAACCTGATGTTTCAAATCCTTTGACACCTTCACACTTTCTCATTGGACGTAATGCTGGACTCCAACTTGAGATTAGTGATCAACCTTCATATGTTACAGGAAAGGATTAAATTATCCGAGAAAGTGTTCGCCAGCAGCAACTTGATAGATTTTGGAAATTATGGAGCAATGATTATCTGAGAAATTTGCCGCCTGCTGTGAAAGGATTTGTGCAAAATTGCAATGTAAAGAAAGGTGCTGTTGTCCTAGTCAGAGAAGACCATGTTCCTAGGCTTAAATGGCCATTAGGTGTAGTTACTGAAGTATTCCCTGGTAATTATAATATCATTAGGAGTGTTAGGGTTAAAACTGACAAAGGAACAGTCAGTAGACCAGTGCAGAAGTTGCATGATCTTGAAATGTATAATCCTCTGTATGAAGATTCTGAAGAAAATATTATACCATCAGTTCTTGGAAACGGTGAAAATGGTTCCTCTGAGCCTTGTGAAGAGAACATTGTGAAACCCACCTCCTATAGTCGATGGGGTCGTGCAATAAGAACCCCAGTGAAACTTGATTTGTAATGATTTGTA